GTTCTAACATTTGGGTCTGGATTCAGGATAATTACCATAAACTAATAAAACATAATTAACATGGCTGCATGGAGTTGAGGCCATGCAGGTTTTGGGAGGATGTTCTGGTCTGGTCTGGTCTGGTCTGGACCCCCCAGACTGCTGGCCTTTAAATGTCACCCCAGCCAGCCTCTTTCTAACATTTTTCTCAGAACATTAAGTCAGTTTAGGTGCAGATAAATTCATGGATTTATGTTCAAGGCTTTTTGTTGCACATTTTTATTTTTTGTGCTTTTTAGTTTTATTCATTTAGAACTGACTAAAACATTCAGTCTCTTTTTACTGTAAAGAGGCTGAAATATAAAACTTTAGACGAGACTCTTTCAGTCTGACATGTCCAAAACTGAACCCTGAAGAAATCTGCAAAGTTCTGTTGTTGTGCTTCAGAAACTTTAAAAAAGGTTTAGTGACATCATTTCTAAAAGTGAAAATTGAGTGTTTGATAAATAATTAGTTAATCCGATGTTTCTAATCTTAGCCGTCAAAATGAACAGGTTCTAAACTTTATCACATTTTTATTCATTTTACTGAATAAAAGATGTCCTGCTTCCAGTTTGTGTTGCTTTAAAACACACACACACACACACAAACTGTGGTTAATATTAACGTGTTAAACACACAAGTTTAGTGGAGCCAGTATTTATTATTTTCATTTTTAGACTGTTTTCAGTAAAACATTATGTATTAATAAGACTTAGGACATTGAAATTAATTATAAAAGCAATATTTGCAAATTATTGTTTAAAAAAACGTTCCTTACACAGTTCTTTTTTTTTTCATTCATTTAGTAGAATTTTATGTTTCAGTTAAAATAACATCTTTGGAATGTTTAATGGATCTTTAATGGAATTAAAGCGTGTTTAAGGGTTTTCCAGCAACAGTCCATTAAAACATAACTGTTAAATGTGACAGGAGCATGTTTTTGGTCATCAAGTCCAAAAAGCTTTAAACACGGCTCATTCTCTGATCATTGAATCTGTTAATTAACACTTTTGTGCTCCAGTAAACATCATGGGTGTTAAAGTGTTTGTCCTCATCAGCACCCTCCATAAGACCCCCCAGCGGTGAGTCCGGGCCGCCGGGGCGGCGCTCTGCAGCTGCCCGCTCTGCGGCTGCAGGAGCCCGGCCAGTCCCGCAGCTGTGCCTCGGTGCTGCTCCTGCGCTCCTGGAGCTTTGTTCTGGAGGTGTGTGTGTGTGTGTGTGGGGGGGGGGGGGGGGGGGGGGGGTGTCGTTTTATTTACAGCTTTACATTTCACCAGAGGTTTTCTTTAAAGACCATCATGCTGGACTACACCTTATCGAGGCATAAAGAGAAAAAAGGTGGTTTGTGGATCGGGGGCGCAGCGCGTCGCATGCAGGGACACAGGGGGGTCATTGTTGTGAGGAACAGCGCCTGTTTGTGTCACCATGATGTCCCCGATAATCTCCTCCTTCATGCATCAGATCTGTTTGATTTCTGGCCTCAGCTGGTTCAAAAGGTGCTGATCCAGTTAACACTTCACCTGGTAAAGGTGCTGCAGTCTCATGCGCATTTTTCTTAAAACGTGTTCGTTCATTTAAGGATTCTGATATTTTTGCACAATAACCAGAAAAAAAAAATGTTTTGTGATTTTTGTAAGACCTAAAAATCATCTGCATCATTTAGACCTGAGCAATATTTACTTCATTTAGCTCAGTATTAAGGTGAGGGAAATTAACTCCTCATTTTTCCCCTAAGGGAAATTATTTATTTAATTCATTTATTGTTTCACCTCTGCCTGCCCTCATCGCTTGACCAAAAAACAGATTTAATTTTTTTTTTAAACCACATATAGTTTTTATAGCTCCCCGCAAAACTTTTAAACCAATTAACCAATCAGAAAAAATAATAAGTAAATGAAAAATGTAAACAAAAATATTTGTGATGGCCATTATTAGCTGAGTGACTAGCAATCTAATTAATTTGAAATAAATCCGCATGCCACAATTTGAAAAGTTTTGGGTTAAAAAAAAACAAAAACAAAACAAAACTGCCTTTTTTTTTGTTTTGTTTTTTTTGCATGTTTTACAATTTACCGTAACTCTCATGTTTGAGTGGAAAAAATGAGAACTGCTGTTCGTTCTGCGCATGCTCAGTGAAGTTTTATCCGTTTCCTTTAAAAATGGCGTCAGACCGCTGCAGCTAAACTGTTTAACTACAAAACAAACATAAACTAGCCTTTAACTTTGTCAAATAAAACTTTCTTTTTTTGCTTAAAGTTTAGAAGACAGTAAACTCTCAAAAACAATATTTTAAGATTAGGTTGTTTAAAAAAACGAACATAAACAAATCTAGCTAATAGCGTTTAGCCTTTAATAAAGGAATACAATTTACAAAACCATGAAAGAGATTAAACATCATCTATACACATGTTACTGATATCATCGCTGTCATATTTGCATTATTCATAAATAAATAAATAAATATAAAATGAATATTATGATTTTATTTGAAATTAGATACGTTTTTATTCTCTTCATTCAACCTTTAAACATGCACGGAGACTCATTTACTAACGAGATCTGTTTCAGACAGAACATGACAACAATAACAGTAAACAATGAGACAATAAACTACAGTCAAAATGAGAGTAGTGTAAAAAGATAAATAAATCAGGGTGCTGTAAAACAGGGTGAAATACTAAAAAATATATAAAACTAGCAGTTTTGAAGCCAGCACTTTGATGTGTTCTGAGCCTTAATTGTTTTTAAATGTGTAACTTTTACAGACATAAAAAAAAATCCATATTTAATGAGCAAAACTGATAACAAAACCCTTTATTCACCCCCTTTGCAAACTCAGATTTTTACAAATTAATAATTTTGTTTTATCTTAATAATCATCTTATTAAAAGTTTATTGTTGTACTT